ATGTAGCACATTTCTTTTGTTTGTACGCAGTTAAAAAATAAAATTTAGATATAAAGGCTGTTTCAATGATTTTAAATGTGAATTAAGTTTAAGCGTCTAATGATTTTTTTCTTCTTCTTTCAGATTTGGCGGATATTCGGGCATATTATTTTTCACGCATAATTGTCATGAGTTAAATAGCATTATCCAATAGAGAAATAAAGAAATTTTCACCAATAAAACTAATTTATTTACTGCTAACTTTGATCCTTCTTAATGAAACACCCTTATATATAATCCATCTTAATGAAACACCCTTTATAAATATATGTACAAACACTTATATAAAACGTTTAACATTTTTTTAAATTTCCTTTATATTTTCTAGTATATATTTGTCTTCCGCAGGAATTCCATAATGTTGCTTGTTGGTAAAGAAAGAATTCAGCCAGGTTCCCTGCCTGAGAACACCTCCTTCTGACTTGTGGCAATCTTTCACGTTCCAAGAGGATATGTTTAACTTTACCACAAGTACATTTTGGCTGTTCCTCTTTTTTTAGTACAGTGGTCTATGATCAATTTTTAGCCACCCTTGATTGCAGCAATTTTGGCTCGTGTAATAACGTCACTTTTTGTTCAGACAATAGCGTGTTAGTAACCAGCTACTCTCATCTATGAACGATAGTTGACTTATATTTTGCAATGAAAGTTCGCGGAAGTAAGGAAATTGGTGAATTTTAACGAGTGCAAATAATAGGATGGCATTAGCGTAAGTCAAATAGATAAATTGCTAAGTTTTTCCAGGTTAATCATCAAACGGTTAATATTTTCAAGAAATTTAATGAAAAAGGCTATGCATTTTGTCTGAGCGAACGAAGAAGGAAGTCTTCAGAAACCGTCGTCAGAGCATCAAAGATGTCGCCAACATCTTGGAAATGTCGCCATATGGGCTGAGAAAGATTCTGAAAGAGCTAGACTATCAAAGAAGAGTTTCATAGCTTAAAAGAAACCTTCGTATGGACTGGGTGAGTAAATTCGAGAGCAAAGATTATGAATTTTGACAGTCTGTAATTTGGTCAGATGAAAGTAAATTCTGCCAAAATTCGAATTCGAGACAGGTTTATGTTTGGAGAAATCAGAATGAGATTTGGAATACTGAATGCCTGACCGTGAAACATGGAGGGATTGGAGTAATGGTTTTGAGCGCTGTCTGGTTTGTATGGAAATTTGAGCTGATTCTTGTTGACGAGCGGTTGAATGGTCCAAAATACTGTCAAATATTAGAGAAAGGATTGCTCCCACTCTCAATCAGATTGATAAGAATATCTACCTTTTTCAAGAAGATGGAGCGCTATGTCATATGAGCAAGTAACAAAGGCATGTAAAGAATCGCAAGGAATCAAGTCACTTCCATGGGTAGCTCAAAAACATGACATGAATCCAATAGAGCACATTTGGGAGCACCTTGACCGAAGGCTTCGAGAGCGTGCAACCAAAATCACGTCAGTGGCAACCCTTAAAGAAACATTGCTAAAGAAGTAGCAAAATATGGCTCAGACGATTGTTGATAACTTGATCAAATCCATGAAAAATCGAATACAAGCACTGAAACTAGCAAATGGGGAACCTACTTCATACTTGTTCCAAATACTGTTTATTTATGTTGAGTAAAGAATTAAATTTTGAAATTGGATGTAGTTTATAACTCCTGGCTAAAAACTTTTCTTAGGTCATTGTATAAACCCGTGAGTCAGTCATGAATGATCAGCGTGCAATCGGATCAAAACTATTTCCTCTTTTCAGTTTTTAAGATCTGTTGCCCTTTCTCCAAATTTGGGCTTTATTTGGAACAGTTTGTTCTGAGGGTTGTTTTTCAACAATTCTTGCCATTTTTCTTTGAAGTACTTATTGATGATAAATTTTGAGTCAGTCTTGGGAATTTTGATGTTGGGATCTATTATCATTCCTGCAGTTTATATGGATGCTGAGTCTCCCCTATCACCTCCTTTAATTCCAATGTGACTCGGAATCCAGCAAAATATGAATTCTTTAGTTTTGCGCGTGGCATGTCTCTTGTTGAGGATTTTTATAATAAGCGGGTTTTCCAGTTTTTTCCTCTTTAGTGAGATCAATACAAATAGTGAATCTGAGAATATCATGAATTTATTATATTTGCTTGTAGCTATATTATTGAATTCCAGATCTCTTGCGTAAGCTTCTGCACTAACGATAGATGCATCCGTTGGTAAGCGTTTTTTTAAATGTACTTCGGTTAAGTATTGCAGCACAGCCTGTTTTTTTCTCCATCTTTAAAGCAATCAGTGAACATGCTTATATGATTTGAATATTTTTCAGATTTTCGAGAATTTTTCAAGGATAGAGTGAGCTTTACTTTGTGGAAGTTCACTCAGTTTAATTATGCCATTGGGTTGTTTGATGGTCCAAATGGAGAGGGGATTTCTGATAGTCCAGTTCTGTTTAATCTCTCGAGAGGAATAGATTTTACAGTAAGATCCTCCATTCGGATTACAAAGGTCTTTATTTGACCCGTTTCTTTGGTTGAAAAGTTGTTTACATTTTGGATTAAGAGTGCTGCCATATGCTGGGGTAGAAGGGCTATTTGAAGTAATATTAAAGAGCTAATTATTCTCTCCTTAGTTTAAGTGATGCTTCATTAGCTTCCACTTTCATTTAGGGAGGCCGAGAAGCTCCCAGTCTAAATCTGATGCCTTCATGACGTATTGTGTCGAATGGTTTCAATTCTATCTCTTAGCAAATCCACAGATCATACAGCTTTAATTGAGCTTAGAACGGATTATGGCTCTGTAGAGTTCCATTAAAGTTCTTTTGTTAGCTCCCCAATCTTTGTACGCTACCACGCGAAGTAGTTGTAGCGCTTTGTTACACTTTGCTTTCAGGTTCCTTACATGAGGGATAAAGGAGAGTTTGTTATATATGACGACCAAAAACTTATGCTTCTTCTACCACTGGTATTTCTGACCCTTCTAGTGTTAGTACAGGGTTGTTGTGAAAGTTTCTAATTTTACAAAAGTGAACGTATTTAGTTTCTGTCTTTAAAAATCGGAATCCGTTTAATGTTGCCTGTTTACTTATCTTGTTTAAGCCTTGTTGTAATTGTCTCTCTGCTGTATGGATGTATTTCGATCGGTAGAATATAAGGAAGCTGTCCACGTAGATTGAATCCTCAGCCCCGGATTTCAGGCAGTTTGACAATATCGTTGATTTTGATGCTGAAAATCGTCGCCGATAGTGTACTACCTTGAAGCACTCTTTTCTCTAGCTTTTGGAGGTTGAAGAGTGTCGATCCTATACGAACTTTAAAGTGTCTTTCAGATAAAAATTGCTTTATAAAATTAGGTAATCTACCTCTCAGTCCAATTTTGTGTAAGTCTTTCATGACACTATACTTCCACGTGGTAACATATGCTTTTTTGGCTATCAGGTGTTCTTATCTTATGTTAGCCTCTCTCATATGAGTTTCCAATCTTATCAAGTGATCTTCTGTGCTTAATTTCTTTCGGAAACTACACTGATATTTGGATATAAGATTTTGTTTTTCGAGGAACCAGTCCAGCCTCATATTGAACATTCGTACCATTGTTTTTCATATACAACTTTTCAGTGATATAGGTCTATAATTTTGTGGATTCGTATGATCCTTATTTGGTTTGGGAATGGGAATCACTTTCGATAGTGCCCAAATTTTGGGAAGCTCTCTGTTCATTCAAATATTATTGAATGTGTTTAGCAGGTATCCTAATGATTCTTGAGGGAGTTGTTTGAAGAATTCATAATGTATTTCATCAGGTCCTACGGTTGTGTTGTGGGACGTTTCATTGGACTCCGTCAATTCTGTCAGGGGTGAAGGGTTTGTTATAGCATTCTGTAGTGTTTGAAGAAAAGTTCAGTTTTTGTTTTCCTTCTTCCTTGTTTTATATTTCGAAATCTTTAGTTTCAACTTGTTTTGGATTTTACCTGCTGGTGTTTCGGTTATAAATTGGCTATTTCTTCCTGAATCATTACCTTCTTATTTTTTTTTTCAATATGTTTTATAAAGGTGGATTGATTGATTCTTGCCGGAGATTTTTTAAATCATTACCTAATTTTTTTTTTCGTGTAAGAGTGGCTATTGAGGCTGTTTAAATATTTTTCCCAACATTCTTTTTGGGCTTCTTTAATTGTTTTCGTTTCCTTCGATCTTACTTACATTATTCGGACCGTTATCTTCATTGACGTATTGGCAACATTTCGGCCGTTGTACGCTCCGGCTTTCTTCAGGTGATTGTAATTTCGAAAATCAGTGAAAAATATTCAAATCATATAAACATGTTCACTGATTACTCTAAAAATGGAGAAAAAACAGGCTGTACTCACTTGGTCTGAGGGAGCCCGATCGGCAACAGCGAACAATCTGATAAATATAAAACACTCATTCAAGAATTACTACCATTGAGTCCGGACGACTAGCAAAAGTTCCAAGAAGAACGTAAAAAAAAAAAAAAATCAACACTTGACCCAAAACACTAACAGTCCGCAAATCCAGATCACAATAAGCTCTCAAACTGCAGCACAGATAACGTCAGATAAAATTAAATCCCTACAAAAAAAAAAAATCCCAAAGATCTTCCATCCGCCCACCATATGTTGGAAATGTAGCAAAGACAAACTCGAGAGAAACCTCTCCTAAAAGACAAGAACAATAAAAAAAAATAATTAATTCAAGTCCAAAATAGTCTAACACCCAACAACGATAGATAGATAGATTTAAGGTACTGAAAAGATAGATAGATTTAAGGTACTGAAAAGATAGATAGATTAAAGGTACTGAAAAGATAGATAGATTTAAGGTACTGAAAAGATCGATAGATAGATTTAAGGTACTGAAAAGATAGATAGATTTAAGGTACTGAAAAGATCGATAGATAGATTAAAGGTACTGAAAAGATAGATAGATTTAAGGTACTGAAAAGATCGATAGAAAGATTTAAGGTACTGAAAAGATAGCACCTGGCATTCCCAAGCGGTCACCCATGTAGGTACTGATCAGGCTCACGTTGCTTAACTTCGGGAATCGTGCGGGAACCGATGTTTCAACGCGATTTGATCGTAAGTCATATGTCTATCATTACAACAATTGTTAATTTCTTCACAAGATCTATACCTACTCACAAAGCTTAATCAGTTTAGTTACAGTATGGTTTTCAGGGATTTTCCAGATTGATACTATCAAAAAGTTAAATTCTTGACAAATCGAAATTCGAACCCGACCCTGGGTATGATGATAAACTACATCAGCGTCCTGGGTAAGACGATAAACTACATCAGCGTCCTGGGTAAGACGATAAACTACGTCCGCGTCCTGTGTATGACGATAAACTACATCCGCGTCCTGGGTGAGACGATAAACTACATCCGCGTCTTGGGTATGACGATAAACTACATCCGCGTCCTGGGTAAGACGATGAACTACATCCGCGTCCTGGGTATGACGATGAACTACATCCGCGTCCTGGGTAAGACGATAAACTACATCCGCATCCTGGGTAAGACGATAAACTACGTCCGCGTCCTGTGTATGACGATAAACTACATCCGCGCGTCCGGGTGAGACGATAAACTACATCCGCGTCTTGGGTATGACGATAAACTACATCCGCGTCCTGGGTAAGACGATGAACTACATCCGCGTCCTGGGTATGACGATGAACTACATCCGCATCCTGGGTAAGACGATGAACTACATCCGCGTCCTGGGTATGACGATGAACTACATCCGCGTTCTGGGTATGACGATGAACTACATCTGGAATCAAGGCCTCTGATCGGAAGGTTTTGAGGAGCGTGGAACTGTGCCTCTTGGTTGCTGGTGTTCCCGGGTTCGCCCTGACCCGGAGTGGTGGCACCTGTTGGGGGTCCCAGCTGTGAGCGAGTGGTTGGCCCCCGGACTAGGGGCGGGGCGCTATGAAACTGTAAAAATAGGTTTTAATACCAGAAATACTTTGTAAAAAATTACCAGCAATAAGTTATTGAGGGATAATCATTACCAGCTATACATTTTTGAAAAAAAATATTGCCAGCAATAAAACTCTTGTCGCCATTAAATAACCCATTGAGGTTAATATGCCATAAAACAAAACAAACAAAACCAGACCGGGCGCGTAGGTAAAAATCTAACTTTCTAACCACTCGAACATTAGTCCATTTTTAATCAATTCACTCTATGGAAGATAATATAACCACGAAGAGGCAAGAAGGGTGTGAGATAATCGGAGAAAAAGAAAACTAATTTATTAAGGAGAGAGAACAATAAAAGAAAAGTAATTATAAAGACAGAAGATAACGATTGGTATTGCCTTTAATTATTTTTAAGATCAAAGTTCACTAGAAAGCAAGAAGCCGGAAGAGCGTTCCACAAGCGAGAAGTGCGAGGGAAAACTCTTAGCATAGAACTTACGGTTATAACTAGCCGTTTCAACTCTAAAATCATGAGACCTAGCCGCCAATCTAGTACTGCGCTTACATTCATAGAGTCTAGGTACCAAAGAGGAAAACTCATTAGAACAATTAACCTGGAAACATGAAACATTCCGAGCCATTATCCATCACGCCACTCGCGCATCCAAGCTTACAGCACCTGGTATTGCAAAAACGGTCACCCTCCTAGGTACTGACCAGGTTCGACGTTGCTTAACTTCGGTGATTGTACGGGAACCGGTGTTTCAACGAAATTAGAGTGTAAGCCTTTCAGTGGCAATTCACCCTGTTCAAAGCCCAAGTGCCACTCAAGCTAGAGCAGTGGTTCTTAACCTTGTTGGAGGTACTGAACCACACAAGTTTTCTCCGGCATTCAGCGAACCATTCGTAATTGGAAAAATAAAATAGCATTTCTTCAAAACATAGGTATATATCTTATTAGTGCCAAAATCAGTTGATCACAAAATTGTTATGATAAAAGAACTCCCCCTCAAAAAAAATAATCAAAGAATATTTACTGCAAATCAAAGTGACTTTTACTGTTGCCTTTTCAGATACAGGTTCAAAAATGCGTGGCTTTACATTGATTAGTGCCACTCGAAGATCTTTGTTTGCAATCAAGTCTGTTTCTTTTCTTCGGTTTTATGTCTACCACCCTCGAAAAGGATTGCTCGCAAAGATACGTTGGAACAAACGGCATGAGTACCCCCAAAGGTTTTCTTAGCAATAAGAGGGAATGCTACAATTTAGTAACATCAAAACGTTAAGATCATTGTTGTTCTGAAGCGTTGCTGTTGTACCTGGCTCTGGTGAAATTCAGGAATATGTTTTGACCACCGCCGAATCCCCGGGAATACTTCACCGAAACCCTGGAGTTTGATCGAACCCAGATTAAGAACCATTCAAACTAGAGGATCAATGAAGGTGGTTGTTGTGTGAACGACAAGAATAAAAGACGCAGATGATGCGAATATGAGTGAAAGATAACGCTTCACCATAGACATGAAGAGAAGAGATTGCAGTGATCAGGGAAGCATCTACCCTGGAATTTGTACCACAAGGCAACAGTTCTTGGGAAAATGCTATACCACTGTACATTTATGTTATGGCGTCCTCCCTCTAATTAGGCTATAGTGGCCTCTTCCACTTACTATAAAGTTACTAGAAGTAGGCCTCAGGGAGAACAGTGATATAAACTGTTCAACTGCCAAACTCTCCGCCTATCGGAGAGGAACTCGGACGAAGCTATGTCGAAGGGCAAAGAATCGTCCGGGGAGCTAGACAGTCCCTGAGCCCGTTTATATGGGTTCTAAAGGGAATATTTTTGGCCGAGCCTACGGGTTCGGAGAACTCACAATAAACCGGCCTTGTGCTACATACGACCCACGTGGAGAGGGTGTTAAATATAACAGTGATAGTACTGTTCTAGTTAGGCTGTTTGCAGCTTCTGTCGAACTCTGCTTTTGGCAGAGAGGAACCCGGACGAGGCTGTGCCAAAGGACAGAATTTCGTCCGAAGGGGTAGACAGACCTGAACCCGTTTATGCGGGTTCTACGGGAATATTTTTGGCCGAGCCTACGGGCTCGGAGAACACATGGTAAACTCGGCCGTGTGCCACATACATACCTCGTGGTGGTGGGGGGGCTGTTAAATATTAACAGTGATAGACTGTTCAACTGTCGAACTCGCTGCCTCGAGCAGAGAGGAAGCCGGACGAGGCTTTACGGAAGGGCAATGCTTCGTCCGGGGAGGTAGACAGGCCCTGCACCTGTTTATGTGGGTTCTAAGGGAATATTTTTGGCAAGTCCTACGGGCTTGAAGAACCCACGGTAAACTCGGTCTTGTGCTACATACATCCCACGTGAGGCGGAGCTGTTAAATAATAACAGTCATAGACGGATCAACTATTGAACTCTCTGCCTTGAGCAGAGAGGAACCTGGACGAGCCTTTACCGAAGGGCAAAATTTCGTCCTTGAACCCGTTTACGCTGGTTCAAAATGGAGTATTTTTGGCCGAGCCTACGGGCTTTGAGAACCCACGGTAAACTCGGCCTTGTGCCATATACATCCCTCGTGGCGGGGGCTGTTAAATATTAATAGTGATAGACTGAACGCTGGTCGACCGATACACACTCCCAAGTCGTGTAACACTCTTCTGTTGTATTTACTCTTCAATATATTATTTATCTGCAATCTCTTGTTTTGTTATTCTTCACCATTTGGTCACAACACTTTATTGAATCAAAAATGTTTCGAGATTTTCTTTTTTTTTTCTTTTTTGGTATGAGACCTTCGTAAATTAACAGCATAGGACGCATATGCGCAATTGGTGCATTATTTTCCCAGACAGCACACAAATATCATTTTTGTGGGATTTTGAAGCAAACCAGGTCAATAAATTTTGTTTCAAGAGCTTTTGTCTTTCAAATTATTTCGCTTTGTCGATCATCGTTCAATTTACATTCTTCCACGTACCGCACTGACTGCTTCTGAAAACTGCATGCAACATTTTTCTTTCATCCGTGCTGATCTGCGGCGTTGAACAGAAAGTGCAGATTTATTTTCTGCAATGTTCAAATATGTTGCTGCAGACGTCAAGAGACGTGCTCAACAGGGAATCACAAGGAAATTGTTTTTACTGAGAATTCAGGTTAGCCATAAAAGCTTCAGTGAATTTCCTTGAAATTAGGAATTATTTTCATTCAATTGCTAAACATTAAATCAACGTAGATTAAAACACATATTCTGGATTTGAAATTCCCGCTCAAAGCTAAATAACAAAAAGAAATCTACGCAATACTTGTTAATAACAAGCAGCATGGCCCGGCGTTGCCCAGGCTTGATTCAAAAATTGTACGACTCATACAGCAATCGCTATCACTTGACTTAAAATATTTTTGTCCTTCCTTGCCTTTAAAGGAGTGCCCTTTTCCGTGCTGATGTTGCTACATGCCTTACTTCTTGCCTATCTCACACTGCGAATTTTTTCTAAGCTCCAAACATTTTGGTTTTGGTCGTGTGGAAGATTAACATATTTATTGTATCGTTATTTTCTATCTAGTTACATGTGCTAACCAGTTTTTCTGTTGTTGTTATTGGAAGTATCAGAGCGTTGTGGTTTGTTATTTTGATTGTGATCCTGCAGCGCTAATTTATAGTATCTGATAGAAACAAAGAAAAGAGTATTGAACTGCTATCTAATATCCATCTTCCTATATGGTAGCGAATGCTCGACAATCTTCTCAAAGATGAAGAAGAGACTTGAAGCAAAAGAAATGTGGTTCTACAGAAAGATGCTATGGATACCATGGATCAAACATATGAGCAAAGACAAAGTTTTGGAGAAAATGGAAATAAAAAGGAAATTTAACTTAACATCAGGGAGAGGCGGTGAAAAGTTCTGGGGCACGTAATGAGGAAGGAGGGCTTGGAAAATCTGATACTCACGTGACAGACTGAGGGAAAGAGGGACAGAGGAAAGCAGCGCGTAACATATTTGATGAACTTGAGCAAATGGTTGGTAGAACTAGGTTTGGGAGAAATAACACCTGTAATAATTGTCACAAAAATGCATCGGAGAAACCTCAAGGAATCTAAATAACAGATTCTATTAAGACAAAAGTGATATTTTACAAAAATAATACGCCAAATGCGTTTGTTTTCCACCGTAACGAGACTGGTGACAATTTTGACATAAAAAAATGCTACTCTGATCAAAGGAGAAAATATTTCACTACGACATAAATGTCTAAAGAGTCCTTTAATCACAACGTCATCTGCGGTTGATTTGCGCCCTGCTTCTACAACATTTCATCACTCCTGGCAGGTCTTCTAATATCACAGTGCGAAATACCTACTTACAAAAGGGATGTAAAGAAAAGGACTCTAAATGAATTCGGTGAGATAAAAAAAAATCTAAAATTCTCAGAACCCCAAAGTCGTGCGCAGGGGTAGTACTAACAACACAACAAATTTAGTCCGATGAAGTCCTGAAGGACGAAACATTTTCTAAGTAACCTTTTTCTATTTTGTTATATATATATATATATATATATATATATATATATATATATATATTAGATAATAGAAAATCTAAAATTATCTCATGAAGTAAGGCTATTTCAACTGACGTCAATGCACATAAAATAAAATATTTTATTTTAAGTTTCGAACACTGTATAAGTCCAACATTTGAGTCGAAAAATACTAGCTCAGTGACATTAGTTGAAATAGTCTATACTCATGAAGTGATTTTAGATTTCTGTATTATGTAATTTATATGCTCCGTTATAATAAATACATTGAGCTCTTTTTGTGAATCAGTTTTAATATTTTATATTATTAGGATCCACTTGGATTATATACCAATGGATTTATTTATTGTATTATATATATATATATATATATATATATATATATATATCAGAACAAGTTTGAATGAATGATTTTTAAAGAAGTTATTATTTTGTTTCTATTTTCCTTAAAACACCCTGGTTGCTCTCGTGTTCAGTCCATGGTATTCTCAACATCCTTCTGTAGAACCACATCCTTGCTACCGCATACACTGCCATTTAGGCAGAATGACATTAAAAAATAATTCAAAACTTTTTTGTTTCTAATGAAAATTTCTTGTTTCTTGCTACTTTGCCTATCTCTGCACTAACATTTCGACCAAAGAAATCGCGAAGTGCGCGAAATGCATTTCTCTTTGAACGTCCATTTTCGTAATAGGCTTCGATAACTTTAACACGTTGTTTGATTGTTAATCTTTCCATGGTTGAAATTTCCAAAGACGTAAGTTGTTAAATCTGAAAAAAAGAAAAAATCGTTAGACGCTTAAACTTAATTCACATTTAAAATCGGTCCACGTTATTAGAACACCCTTCACTTAACACCAGGGAAAATAGTTGTGAATTATGAGGTACATTAATAGGAAAGAGGGCTTCGAAAATTTGATACTCACAGGACAGATTAAAGGTAAGATGGCCCGAGGAAAGCAACGAACAACCAACATGGCGAAGCTTAAGCGAATGGATGGCGAAGCAGGGTTTGGGAGAGATGGCGAAAAGATAAAAGTTATTAATTGCTACAAAAGACAAGAAATTATGGAGGGCCATGATCACCAACGTCCTGAAGAGACACAGCACATAGAAGAAGAATATTTTATCAATTGGATCTCTAATTTTAAAATAAAAACAGCCTATTCGTCATCGCGCGAAGGAATTGAACCTCTCCACACCAACATTACATC